TCTGGTACTATTCTTACATCTCTGAATGCATTATCAGACATGAAAGGCATCAGTTCTTAAGAATCATGTTTAGCCGCCGAAATTTTTAGGCAGTTATAAGTAAAGGGGACGGAAAAATGGTGTAAAATTAGTGCTAAAGTATGCTGAGTGAAATCAGCAGACGGATGAAGCAAGAAGGAAGACAAAACGGGTCGCGTATCGTTTGTTTGTATTAAAACGGAGCAGCTGAAATATACCGATTAAGCCCGAATTGGATGCACTTGCAGAGCGTGTGTGTCTTGCTTTATCCTTGTTGCATGCAGCACTTTTTCTTCGGAATATGTGAGGGAACTAATATTCGCAGGCACCTGTCTGTGTTCATCGGCATCAGACTTCGCGCTTCCTACGCCTTAGTTTTCGAAACGTGAGCAAGTGCTTACTTATTGTTATCATCCATAGCCTCTTGCTTGACTTGTTCATCGGCGGGAAAACAGATACGGCCGCAGCTCATTAATACTATCATCTTTCACATCTTATGAAGCCAAACTGAAACTACTTACGTATATTAGCCAACACGATACAGTCATTTGTAAAAGTCCTAGATAGCGATGCACCAGGCTTGCTGCGCAGCTATGCCTTTTTGTGTGAATCTTGATGCAGTAAGATCTTTAACGGTATGAATGGTTACTGTTTAACATGTGCGTTCATCATGGAGCTGCGTGAAATCTTAGCCTTTAGCGTGCGTGATTATCGTAAATTTTGTATGAAGGGGAGTGAATAATTTCTAGTGATTGGTCATTCACTGAAAATGCAAATTTTTTTGAGCAGGACTTTGGGAGAAAACGATAGTGAAGTCCGAGGTAGAAAGTTTACCACCAAAATTTTAACTTGTCCGTACGGAGGAAATAGGCTTATTTAAGGAATGGATTTGAAGTTTTTGAATCCCGTGGACGTAGAACATCCTCCTAGTATTCGAGCTTTTCAACCTTTCTGGCCTAAGAGTTAGTAATTTCCATGCCGAAAATTTCAAGTGTCCGCATGTGGAAACCGAGCATAATTAGAAACTGAATTTGAAACCCTTGTATCGCGCACAGGCAGAGAACATCGCTCTAAATGTTCAGCTTCCTAGCTTACCTTGGTTCCTGAGTTAATAGCCTTGTCAAAAATTTCACGTGCCCACAAATGAAACTCAGACGCGTGTGAGAGTAATTAACATGTTCCTGAGACGCACTTGACCAGAGAACCTATTGGCAAATTCCAGCATCCACGCTTACCTAATTTCATAGCCGGACAGATACATAGATAAAATGGGTTGTTGTGCGTTTTTGCTTATACGCAAGTTGCAAAAACGCGTATTGTGACGACCCATGGTGTGCGTGTGTGTGTGTGTGGGCATGTTCGAGCGTGTATGTTCGTATGTATATGTATGTTCGTGTGTATGTGTGTACATGTATGTGTGTGTCTGCCCAGGTATTTCAACTCGGCACCGAAGCAAGCTCCGGCACCAAAGTTTTGGCTACGGATTCCCCAGCCAAGTGCCACTCCAGGACCGCGGCATCAACTCCCACACGCAAATCTGGACTCCGTGTACGAGAGGGTGAAAGTTCTGGCGGGAAAATTGCTAACTCGAGAACTAGAAAAGCTAGAAAGCTGAAATTTTGAGGTTATGTCCCTCGTCCACTTGGGACTCAAAGATTTCAAATTCATTTCGCAGGTATGCGTGCTTCCTGTGTAGGGCTCCATGAGTGTTCCTGGTACGAAAATCGTTAATTTGGGAAGCCAGGGGAGTTGGGAGACTGAAATTTTGAGGAGATATTCTCAGCCCATGTACAACTTAAAATTAGCAAATTCAGCCCCGGGGCATGCGTGGATCTCAAGTACGGCCCCATGAAAATTTTTGGCGAGGAAATTTCTAACTCTGGACCCATGGAAGCTGGGAGGCTAAAATTTTAAGAGGATGTTGAAAAGCCTCCGTGAGAGCTGAAAATGTCAAATTTAGCTTTGAGGAATGCATATTTCTCATGTACGGTCCCGTGAAAATTCTTGGCGGGAAGAATTGTTAACTCGGGGACCAGGGGAGCTGGGAGGCTGAAATTTTAAAGGGGTGTTCCCAGCACAAGTGCGACTTAGACTTTCAAGTTCAGCCTCTCGGTATGCGTGGCTCTCACATACGGCTCCGTGAAAATTCTTGGCGGAAAAAATGGCTAACTCGGAAACCAGGGGAGCAGAGAGACTGAAATTTTAAAGGGATGTTCCCTGTCCAACTACTGCATAGACAATTAACTTCTTGATTTTCAAGGAACTGTGTGTCACACATCTCTAGCTACTAGGTTTCTGAGCGATGCCATTACAGCACGAAATACTGCAAAAACGCATGACCGCACAGGCCTGCCCGGTGCGCGTCGCCAGTGATTACAATATGCGTTTGTGGTGTGCAACAACTGCACAAAACGCA